TTAAAGGCTATTAGAGCAGAAAAGCCTGGTATTAATTTTCCAATGTGCCAGTGCCTATGTTGTAACACTATCTTTCTCTTTCTGCGATCTGATTCATATGGAAGTAGGTCAGTGGTGCTGGGGCCTGGGCAATGAATGGGCTCTGTTAGCCCGAGCTCCACAGGCTCAAAGCAATTACGCACCAACATACGAGCTGCGCCTTAAATGAAACAGCTCCTCTACAACAGGCTCAGACCACACAATAACACCACTAGTTCCTGTTAAAACCTAGCCTTACCTGGAGGGTGAAGAGAGGTTGAGTTAGGTTTGTTTAAAGGTGTCATTGATGAAATCAGTTTGAATGAATCGAGCAGGGTAGAAACACATTTATAGGATGTCTCTGAAACCTGCAGGAGTCCCGCACAGAGATCCTCCTTGTCTCTGAATAAAAACTCAAAGCACACTGAACAGTTTCCACCCGACCGCTTTGAGCCTCACTCTTTCAGTTTTAGCTGAAGCTTTAGTTTGTGCCATGCCTTGTATCTTTCATCATTAAAAAAGATAAAGTCGTTGCAAAGCTTTCTGCAGACCCGTGCACCTAAAATGTTTGAGAAGTCTGCAGCTCTGTCAGCAAATTAGACTCAAAAACTGGAGCAGAAACTGTTCAAACCTACATGTAACATTAACTGTTGTCGCAGAAAATCCACACCATGTGGGAGGATTGTTCCACAACTAACTGGGAACACATTCAAAACTCACATTTGACCACTGACTGCCTGTTGAAAACACACTTGAATAAAATTATTTTGTAAAGTTTATAATTGCCATTTGGCAAATAAAGGAAACTGATTACAAAAATCATTCAACTTCAACATTATTTCAGAATATTTGATATGTTTTGTCATATCAAACAAATTAAAAAGAATTTAAAATGGCTAACTCTTCTAGAATTATTAAAATGTCATTTTCATTCAGTAACAAACGTTTTCCGTTTATGTACATATTGCATGCTTAATTTCATCATGTCAGAAAGTCCTTTCTTTTTCAGTTCAAAAATTTTCCATATTAGGACATAATAAAACTGGTCTTGTCTTTAACAGGTTCAAAAATAATTTAAATTTAACCTAAAATGCATAAAAAAAACAACAACAGATTCCACTGTGTTAAACTTAAACAGCCTAAAAAGAAAATCTGAGTGTTAAAAAAAATCCAGCCTCACTGTCTCCTCAGGATAGGAGGTTCAGGATCATCCACGAGCTGCTGATCAGATGTATTGATTAGCTGATCATCATCAGTGTGATCACGTTTGTGACAAAAGGGTGGCAGCAAAGGTCAAATGAGAGATTTACAAGAGAGTAGTGAGACCAGCTGTGGTGTGTGGTTTGGAGACAGAGACGGAGAAATAGACATAAAGACAGAAGACAGAAATGGAAGTGTCATAGCTGAAGATATTGAGGTTCTTCTTGGGAAAAGGAAGGAGAAGATTAGAATGAGATTATCAAAAGTACAGGACAGGTTGACCAACTGGGAGATAAACTGAGAGACCAGACTGAGATGCTTTGCACATGTCCAGAGGAGGACAGCAAGTATATTGGTTTAGACATGTCCAGAGGAGGGACAGTGTGTATATTGGTTTAGACATGTCCAGAGGAGGGACAGTGGGTGTATTGGTTTGGACATGTCCAGAGGAGGGACAGTGGGTGTATTGGTTTAGACATGTCCAGAGGAGGGACAGTGGGTAATTGGTTTCGACATGTCCAGAGGAGGGACAGTGGGTATATTGGTTTCGACATGTCCAGAGGAGGGACAGTGGGTGTATTGGTTTAGACATGTCCAGAGGAGGGACAGTGGGTGTATTGGTTTAGACATGTCCAGAGGAGGGACAGTGGGTGTATTGGTTTAGACGTGTTCAGAGGAGGGACAGTAGGTATATTGATTTAGATGTCTCCTGAGGAGGGACAGTGGGTACATTGGTTTAGACGTGTCCATAGGAGGGACTGTGGCTATATTGGTTTAGATGTGTACAAAGGAGGGACAGTGCCTTTGTTCACTTTAGACATCCTAGCTATTGGTTTAGACATGTCCATAGGAGGGACAGTGGGTATATTGGTTTAGACATGTCCATAGGAGGGACAGTGGGTATATTGTTTTAAACATGTCCATAGGAGGGACAGTGGGTATATTGGTTTGAACATGTCCAGAGGTAGGACGGTGGGTATATTGGTGTAGACATGTCTAGAGGAGGGACAGTGGGTATATTGGTTTGGGCGTGTCCAGAGAAGGGACAGTGGGTATATTGGTTTAAACATGTCCAGAGGAGGGACAGTGGGTACAATGATTTCTACAATTCAAGAAGAGGGACAGTTTGTTTATGGGTTTTGATGCATCCAGAGGATGGACAGTGGGTAGATTGGTTTGGATGTGTCACAAGGATGGGCAGCAGGTATAATGGTCTGGACATCTGAGACTGCCAAGTCTCATATGGTTTGGAAGTGTCCAGAGTAAGGACAGTGAGTGCATTGGTTTAGGTGTGTCAAAGGAGGGACAGAGGCTAAATTGGTTTGGAGGTGTCCTGAGGGGCCGTGGGTATGTATGTTTGGAAGCGTGAAATGAGGGACAGTGGGTATATTGGTTTAGAAATGTCCAGAGGCAGGACAATGGGGACATTGGTTTGGATGTGTCCAGGGGAGGAACAGTGGTTTGAACGTGTTAAAGGAGGACCAGTGGGTATATTGGTTTAGGCATGCCAAAGGAGGGACAGAGGCTAAATTGGTTTGGGAGTGTCAAAGAAGGGACACTGGGTACATTGGTTTGGATGTGTCAAGAGGAGGGACAGTGGGTATATATTGGTTTGGACATGTCCAAAAGCAGGGCAGTGTGTCTATTGGCCATAAAAGCAGATATACAGGACTTAGAGAGAGGACATGGACGCTTATTGCTTATAGGACACGGAAGACAGAGTGAGACGGTAGAGCATGACGCTCTGTGGAGACCGCTTAAAAGGAACAGCTGAAAGAAGAAGTTAGATTTGAATCATTTTAGAACCAGGGAAAGACATTTATTTTTGTTTTGATCAGTTTATTGAACAGGTTTGACCTTTTTCATGTCTTTACTATTGAAATGTTCTTCAGAATGGTGTCCTGCCACGACACAAGTCTAAATGTCAGAGTTTGTTGTAAACTTTAAAAACACTTTTTAAATAATCTTTTAGATTGATGATTTCACACAAATCTGATACTTGAGTGTGTTTACATTAACTCTGGTGTGACCACATGGATCTCCATTGCTAACTCACCTACTAAACCATTCTCTCTCTGCACTGGGATCAAGAATAATCTGCGGTTTCTTTGCAGGCTTGTGCACTTTGATCATCCTGAATCCACCCTGTAAACACTTAATTAAATATTGATCAGGGCTGGATGCAGATCAAACTTTTTTGTTTCAGATTTAATTTGCTGAGCTCGTCTCGAAGCCCACTGAGCTGTTTCAGTTTCTGCTAATGAGGCGTCGCACAGATCTGATCAGATCAAAGCAGATTATTAAAATCAGTGATGCGTGACAGGATTTAAACATCTTTTTTATTATAAAGACCACCCGACAAAAGGCTCGCAGAAGATGCAAACACGTAAAAATACTGTACATTTTCTTTTATCTGTTTATCCTGCAGGAGGACTGTAATGAGCAGGAAGAGATCAAACGTTGATCCACAGAGAGACTGAGTGACTGATGGAGGAATCAGCAGGAAGTGTCAGCAGCTGACTGAGGCCAGAGATCTTCCCTCTGCTGGAGGATCTGTGGAAGTGGTATCTTCTCAGCGTTAACAAGCTAAAACACTTTCAGTCAGTCATCACACGCACAAACACAAAACAGGACTTTATGATTAGAGTGTATTAATTAAAAGTACTTCTTTCCACCACTCATTGTGTAAAACAACAAGAGCAAAAGTCAAAATCTGTTTCCCTGTGTGCACGTAAAGAGGGGGCCTCTTACACTTACACTATGGTATCATTTATCATTTATTTTTATCTTAAATAATACAATAAATATACTACAAATGAACATTGGTTTGGGTAGAGTTACAAGTTCATTGAAAAGTAGAAATGAAAAAGCGGATGTTTCCTGATGAATGAAGCGCTGAGTGGAGATCTACAAACTTCAAACAAGAGAACAAAACTTTACAATTTCATGCATACAGATAAGTTTTAATGCTTCAAAAGAGATACAGGAGTGGATGGCCACAGTAAACTTCAATTTATTGACACACAAATAAAACCAAAAAAACAGATTACCTCCCTCCTCTCGTCCTTACACAGGTTTGACAGGACTGTAAAACTACATGACATGGATCTACAAAATCAAACTAAATCATCTGGAAATTTACAAAAAATAAAAATAAAAGCTTCTCTGTTTTAAGGAGAGGAAAGTGATCATTTTTGGTGCAAACCTTGAAAAGTAAAGCCAAAGATCTACAAGCATATTGAGTTACCTTAAAATGGTTCAAGTCACAAATTTAAGGATAAAAACAGGAAACAAAACGGACCTATGTTTAAAGCTGTCAAAGTTCGGCGGTAGATACTAGTGGTCATAAGCAAGAGAGTGCATAGTTTGAACAACGAGCAAATTATTACATGAAGAGCAAAAAATATTTTTTTAAGGCAGAAAAACCAACAAGCAACATTTTCTGGTGACTTTTCAAGTTGTTTCCCCCATACCAACACGAATCCGAGTCACTTAAAGCAAAAATAAAGAAGTGAGAAATCTTTGGAAGAGTTCAGAGTTTCCTTTCGAACGGCATCGCAACATTTCCATTTTGATCACCTCCATCGGTGCAAGGTGGCAGAGATGAGTCGACAGCACAAGGCCAAGCAAAACCACTGCAGCCNCCCCCCCCCCGAGCGCTCTCGGTGTTCTTTAGCGGCGGACTCTTTTCTGCTGTGTGAGGGCAGCTGAAGCAGGAGAAAACGTGCCGCACTGATCCTGACAGAAAAGTCAAAACGGAGGGGTGGCTGCTGAAGATGGACTAACGTCACCACAAGTTTCCTTTTATTCAAACAACACAAACTAGAAAAATACATAGCACCACAAGAGAGAGAAAATAGCACCTAGGTTTTGATTTCTTTGTGTTTTCGTTAAAATGTGGCATCACCTTCCGCTGCATGGTCAGCAAACATGTTTCCACTGAGGTGGCACTTTTGGTTCAGAGGGCACAGAATAAGGAATGTTTTATTAGTCTGCAAACAACCGTCACATCATGTCACAGAGCGTGTTTTCATCTTTATTCTGTTCTTAAATTACAAGAAAGGTCTGCTCCACAAAGACAGGACGTCCAATTCCTTTAGTTTGTTAGTTTGGTTTTTAACTTTACAGGTCGAATATCCTCGCTCTCCATGTGTTCCCATTAATTAGATGTTCCACCGTCTCCTACCTCACAATTATAAAAGTCACATGCATGTTTTGAAGCCAGAAGCAATAAACAGGAAAAATATACAGAACATACTTACAAACATAAAAAGTCATTCATATATATTTATATATATATATATATTTATGTAGAGAAGCCATTCCAAGAGAATGGTGAGACAGTTCTGCACAAACGAAGCTCCTGTGGTGAACAACCAACAAACCAAACACAGACAGGTGGCAACATGAAACACGAGAGCAGAACTAAAGAAAAAGAAACGAGCCAAATCAGAAGGAGTCCGTGGCAAATACTGCGACCATCTGCAACGGCTGCAGCTCTTAGGGTCGCCTTTGTTGTTTGGGACAAAATCAAGAAATGAGGCGTGGGGGTGGGGAGGGGAGGGGGCCGGAGGAAGGATATGAAATCCAGTTTCAAAACTTGCATGTGATAGAGAAGGCACACTGAGGTTTCAAGGTTATATCCGCTCTATTCCTTTCAAATTTCGCCACACTCCCAACAGAATTTCATTTTGCATATACGTGTTGCTTTATGGAAACAGTTTTTTACAAATAGATTTGTCCCATTCTTTGTCAATTGTTTTTCTTTCTTTCTGAGAAAACAAAATTAGGCTTTTTCTTTTGCTCAGTCTTAGCCGATGAAACAGACAGGTCCCACTTCGAATCCAAACTTCTGCGTGGAACCGCCAAAGTCGTTGAACATGATGTCCACAAACGGCACCTGCTCCACCTTCGGCGTGTTGATCTCAAGTACTGTCTTTTCATAGCCCTTTTTCAGCTGTTGGAGGGGAGAAGACACAGAAGACGTGGAGTTAAAACACAAACGTAGACAAAAACAACTAACAAAGAATCACTAAAGACAGTGAATACTGAGTGCCGAACGACAAACAAAATCAAACCTAAAATCGGCAAAACAGTCTCTAAAACCTGCCAAATAGTTGCTAAAAACTAAAATTAACAGTCTATGATAAACTTCAGGACATTGCTGCTACGGGCTTAAATGTCCATAACTGTAGCAATCCAGTATGATTTAAATTAATAAACAAAAGATAACTAAAAACTAGATGCGGTAGCATTATATGACCCCTACACATTCACAAATCACCCACGCACAACAACTCACATATGGGTAGAGGCTGTTAGATGTCTGGTATTTATATGAGAAGTGACTTTAGAATGGGCATTACAAATAAAATATTTTGTTGTCTCAGTAGTCTATTTGAGTAGAGTGATAATGAAACCAACCACATTCACATGCATGATGTCATGTATGCACTAATCTCTTCAGGAATTTGTACTGTAGATGTTTATAGAAGTGATCCACAGACACCATTTTGAGTCGAAGCTGTTCCGGGTGGAGGACATTTGGGATGGAGTTGATGAACATGCAAATGGGGCTGTAGGTCAAATAGGACAACATCTGTACGAAATTTTATCAAGATCTGATCATGTTTATGTATGTACAGGCTTGAAATAACAATTTTCTGTCATGTTTTGTTTCTTTTGTCTACTGCTAGATGTCAGTTGCATAGAAACACATAATGATGTCATGAAATGACAGCCTTTCGTCAGAGCTAAAAAAATCTGATGTTCCTTTGTTAAATAGTTTTTGAGCTATAAGTATTTTTGTATGTCCAGCCCCTGCTTTACAAATAGCACCCCTACTTGAAATATGGGGTCTATTCCAAAACCATTTGCTTGCATAGTGTATGTATAGGCCACATTGATATTCCTACTAAATTTTCATGCTGCTATGGTTGAGCAAAAATCTCTGAAAAACAATAAAAATAAATAAAATAAAATAAACAGTACAAAAACAATATGCTCCCCACGTCGCATAGTGGGGGTCATAATAAAGGTCAGTAAAAAAGGTTCTCTTCTTAAAGACAGAAGCTAAAAGTAGGAAACTATATAAACTTAGAGTTGATATAAACTCAGAGTTTATGGAAACTCAGAGTTGATGCAAATTCAGTTGGCGTAAACTCAAAGTTGATGTAAGCTTGGAGTTGATTTAAACTCAGGGTTGATACTAACTTAAGAGTTGATGTAAACTTAGAGTTGATGTAAACTCAGAGTTGATGTAAACTTAGGGTTGATGTAAACTTAGAGTTGATGTAAACTCAGAGTTGATGTAAACTCAGGGTTGATGTAAACTTAGAGTTGATGTAAACTCAGAGTTGATGTAAACTCAGGGTTGATGTAAACTTAGAGTTGATGTAAACTAGGGGTTGAGGTAAACTTAGAGTTGATGTAAACTTGGGGTTGATGTAAATTCAGGGTTGATATAAACTCAGGGTTAACGCAAACTTAGAGTTGATGTAAACTTGGGGTTGATGTAAACTTAGAGTTGATGTAAACTTGGGGTTGATGTAAACTTAGAGTTTATGTAAACTCAGGGTTGATGTAAACTTAGAATTGATGTAAACTCAGGGATTATGNTAAACTTGGGGTTGATGTAAACTTAGAGTTGATGTAAACTCAGGGTTGATATAAACTCAGGGTTAATGCAAACTTAGAGTTGATATAAACTTGGGGTTGATGTAAACTTAGAGTTGATGTAAACTTGGGGTTGATGTAAACTTGGGGTTGATGTAAACTTAGAGTTGATGTAAACTCAGGGTTGATGTAAACTTAGATTTGATGTGAACTCAGGGTTGATGTAAACTCAGTGTTGAGTTGATGTAAACTCAGGGTTGATATAAACTCAGGGTTAATGCAAACTTAGAGTTGATGTAAACTCGGGGTTAATGCAAACTTAGAGTTGATGTAAACTCAGGGTTGATTTTTTTTTTTTTTATTACTTTATTTAACCAGGTAAACCCCATTGAGATCCAGATCTCATTTTCAAGGGGGACCTGGGCAGAAGTCTGCAGTATAAAGTCAGGGTTGATGCAAACTTAGAGTTGATGTAAACTTGGGGTTGATGTAAACTTGGGGTTGATGTAAACTTGGGGTTGATGTAAACTTAGAGTTGATGTAAACTTGGGGTTGATGTAAACTTGGGGTTGATGTAAACTTAGAGTTGATGTAAACTCTGGGTTGATGTAAACTCGGGGTTGAGTTGATGTAAACACAGGGTTGATATAAACTCAGTGTTAATGCAAACTTAGAGTTGATGTAAAATTGGGGTTGATGTAGACTTAGAGTTGATGTAAACTCTGGGTTGATGTAAACTCTGGGTTGATGTAAACTTGGTGTAGATGTAAACTTAGAGTTGATGTAAACTCAGTGTTGATGTAAACATAGAGTTGATGTAAACTCATGGTTGATGTAAACTCAGGGTTAATGCAAACTTAGAGTTGATGTAAACTCGGTGTTGATGTAAACTTAAAGTTGATGTAAACTCAGGGTTGATGTAAACTCGGGGTTGATATAAACTCAGGGTTGATGCAAACTTAGAGTTGATGCAAACTTGGAGTTGATGTAAACTCTGAGTTGATGTAAACTCAGAGTTTATGTAAACTCAGGATTGATGTAAACTCAGGGTTGATGTGAACTCAGAGTTGATGGGAACTCACCGCGCAGCCGTCGACCAGTGCGCGGATGTAGGGATTGTTATCATAAGACATCTCCTCATCGTTGGAGCCCAGGAAGCGGATGGCCTTGTCATAGTTGTCCTTCTCCTGATCGTGCCACGCGACTGACTGGTAGCAGTTGTATGTCATATTCTGGCGGGCTGCTGCACTTAGCAACCTTAGGAAGGTCATTTGGACCACGCCAATGGGGTTTCCTTCGGCATCCACATAGGAAAGCTACAGAACAAACACATCCAGATGAAGTCAATCATGAAAACTATGACACAAGGAGAAAAGTATAAATATTAAGTAGAGCAGGAGGAATGTCCTGCAGACATCAAGGATTTATTGAGGTACTTCCAAGCTTACTCTGCACTGCTTTTATCACTTAGGAGTAAATTTGATTTTATTCACAAAGTATTTTTTTTATTGTCGTATTAATATTTCTTAAACATAACTGACATAGTCAGCAGCATGAGTTAGAAGTGTGCCTAACTGCACAATCCTCCTCTGCAGATATACTAAACTATGAATTTTTTCTTGCTGTTTATATTAGACAGCATTACTGACTTAAACATTAAGGTATCAGACTGATGTTTACCAGCATTCTGTCCATCCCACGAAAAAAAATCAAACCATAATTTATCTATTTGTATTTTCTACTCATGCAAACCTAAATGTGACCCTGATTAGACGCCATCGAGCGCTGGTAGGGGTGTCTGATGATCCATCTTCTGACTGTCGGACACTTTAGCTACTACCTGATGACATTAATACTCCACATATGATGAGCAGGAAATCAATCACAGACAATGCACTGTTAGCATGTGGAACAGCTTACATCCTAATCAGACCATCCCCTCTGGGTGTTAACGTTAGTTATTCTTTAGTCTTTTTGTAAAACAGTCATTTTTCAGAGCTGTGAAGATGACTGATGGACATTGACTTCCGACCATTTTTTTCTGGTTTATACTCATTATGTTAATCTTTATTAAAGCTGCCAACAATTAAGGTTTGATTTTAATTAGAAATACAGTATATTTACTATAGAAATTGTGAAATTAGTATTTATACTGTCAATTGTTACTTGTCTGGTGAACTAGAACATTTGAACTGATATATTCAACATGGCATCCATTAAGGTTCTAAATGTTGGTCTTTTCTGGAACTGGCGACAGTTTAAAGCTCCTATTGTTATCCGATACCTTGCATGTAAATGTTTATAAATATATAGAAAAGGAGACCTAATGTAGAAAAAATGCTTAATTTGACACCTTTAATAATAAAAACTACAATTGCCCCAAAAATCTACAACCACTATGAGTAAAAACTGAAAAAAATGCTAAAAATACAATCCTTAAAACAGAACATGTGGTTGTAATGATATGCTAATTGCCTTCTAATTAATGTAGAATCCCATTCACGCTTGTGTGAGAGAAAATGAAGCTGTATCTCTTTAAGCTGATTAGTGCTCTGTAATCCCGACCGATTAACCAGATTTGGAGCTGGTCCAAGTTTGATTTTAATGTCCGTAAACAACAATCTGCATACCAACCATCAGGAATCCATTAGATCCACATGATCGCTTCTCCTTTCAGACAAACAGGACTCACTGAGTACAAAGCGCATGCAGAATCCATGCCATGCAACCAAAGCAGCAAACCGTCTGAGATGAGAGTTTTTTCTTCTTCCACTCGTTCTTCTACAGGAGCCGGAGTTTGCGCACACACCCACTCATGCAGAGACAAAACTCACAGTGCTGACATTACCAGAGAAGTGTCTCTCATCACGGCCTGCCTTTTGCCTTTCTGCTATGGGCAAGAATCTGGGAGTTGTGTGCGAATGTGTCTGACTTTGTCCAAGATACTGTATCTTCTGAATCCCTAGAATAATTTTGATGAAACTTGTACATCTGGAACCTGATTATCTTTTAGAGTCAACTCCATTCAAGATGACTAAACAACTTTAACTACCGTATTTATTCCTGTATAATATGATCTCATGTATAATATGACCCCCTTTTTTGAGCTTAAAAAGTATAAAAAATTTAATCCTCAAACTACCTCCAATTTCATCCGGACTTCAAGATTTTTCAGCCTTTGCAGTCTTTATATATATATCAGCAAAATGATCATTGGACTGTTCATTTTATTTTAACAACATATATACTAAAAGGTATTTTGACAACAAATATATATCAGCTGTAGCAGCATCATATGAATTCTGGCATTTTACACATAGTCCACCAGGAGGCACCAACACAAATGTCCGAGACTTCACGAGATTTGGGCCATCTTGTGGGGGAAAAGCAGATTACTTCCTACTCGCGAACGCCCCCTCTGGTGGGGAAACATTTTTTCAGGGATAGAAACTTTTTCAGAACACCGGTAGATGGCAGCCATTACAGACGAACATGTGTTGTTGTTGTTCGAGGAGCGGCTCGATCACACGCTAATGTCATTAGTTTGTTATCATTACTAAGGTGCAGGACTACTTTCCCCCCTTTTTTTCACATTATGTCGCCTGCCTGGATCTGCTACTATCTCGTCTGAAGCACAGAGGAGTGTCAGACGTAAGATTGTTTCAAGTGCTTTTTATGACGAGGTCTCATTTCCAGACTGAGGCATTTTGTGAATGAAGCTGATATTTCAGTTAAAATACATAAGTAAAAATATTTATCCGAGTATAGTACTACCCCCAACTTTATGGATGATTTTATGCTTTTAATATTACGCATTATATTTGAATAAATACGGTAATGTAAAATTTTAGAATTAATCTCATAAACTAGTGAACTCTCATAAAGTAATAACTGGATGTACACCTACAAGTGATTACCTTTTGAAATCAGTCCAAATCAAGCCACAGCTAATCAACATTAGCTAACCTAAAATAGCTATAACTAGGTGGATTTTTCCAATATTGAGCTAAGATTTGTTGTGGTAGTAGGTGAGTCATTTAAAACACATAAGCTGAGCATGAAATTATTTTTAATGCACAGCTCTGTCATTTCTCAACATAAGATGAGTTTAGTTTAGAACTTCTGTTTGAATGTCAGAACTGTGGTTTATCTTCACAGGGAGCGTGGCAGCCCCCTGTTTTTCCTCAGCATTTTCACCCCTCCCCCCACCTCTGCGTGGACACAGCCTAACATCTTCAGAGAAACATACCTCTTATCATCACATGTCAGCAGAGAACCTAGAAGCCCCTGGTGGTGACCGAGTGCCTGACCCGTTTGACTCAGAGTGAGGTAAACACAATGTGGGCGGAGTCTGTGTTACACAGACGCTTTGTTGCTGAAGCAAAAGCTTGTTGGGAACCAAGGGAATGTGTAAGAAAATGTTTAATGTGAGAAACTCTTTGGTCGAAGTCGTGTCGAGGCACCTGGTCACTTTTAAGAAATGTTCTGGTGATGGGTCAGAGGCAGAGTGGACAACAGAACCAGGAATATAAATATATTTCTGTAATTATTTCCTGCCTGTTTGTTTGGTCCACAACTGTCTCCTCCATTGCCTTATCAGAGCATCTCCTGCTGGACTGACGGTGAAGGCAGCCTGTAGTGGATCATGCACTTTAAACAACTTGCATAACCAACGAGCAAAGTGCCAGGCTCTACTGTGCAGAACCAGAACCATGCAGAGCCTTTGGCATACAGAGTCCTGACCCCAGCCAGGACTCTGGAACCACAGGCAGGGCCACTTACCAGGGAACCTCTTTTGTAGTGACTATACCAAGTTCCTGGGGAGTCTTTGGGCCATTTTGCCATTTTGCTCTGTAAAATATGAGACGCATTCAGGGAAGAGACACGGGAAAGTCAGGAGTCTGGCTTACCAGTTTACCACGTTTGAATTCACTGAACCAGGAACCGGGATTCTCCTTAACCCAGGTTGTGAGCCTAGCCTGGGGGCATGGACCAACAAAACAGCAAGAGAGGAAGGGGAAAAAAAGGAATGTTAAAGAAAGGAAACAGATTTGACAGAAACCCCACACCCCCTCCCTCAGCTCTTCTTCTTTTGTTGTCCTCTGAGGAGTCCTCCAGACCTGAAACATTATTCAAAGAGATAAAGCAGACCTACAGGACCAGCAAAGATAAAAACAGATCCGGTAAGGAGACTTGTCTTCAGTTGCATCCGACAGCACTCATGTGGCAGCATCAACAAAGGCAAGAACAGTAAAGCTTGCTGAAATTCTCAGATAAACACAAACTTACAGCTGCAGTCACATTTCTATCCACTCATTATCTTTAATGTCAGATCAATTTGCAGTTTAAGTATTTATTTGAATCAAACCTTTTTTCAAGGCGAAATCATGAAACAATTCACAACTCAAATTATTTTGGAAACAAGTTTGAGTTATTGCTGGAGTTTCTTGGACCCACACAGAGTCAAAGTTATGCATACATTCACCTAAATCTTTCAGGGATGCTGAAGGTTTTAGGGGGTCTTTTAAAACAACAATGCCAAGGTCTATTAACTCCTTATTAGTGATCATGATGGACTAAAAATGGTAGTTTGTCTTTGTAAGCAAAAATGAATTTGTTTGACAGCACTCATTAAACTGACTAATTATCATGCCAGCCTCAGATGAAAGAAAACTTGTTAAGAAGTTCATGAACCACCAAAGAACTTTCGAGGAATCATCAAGGCGTAAGCCTGTGATGAACAGTACACTGCTGGGATGTTAATGTCTCTGTCCTCAGAGGAGCCAGTTTTCTTATCATTATAGAAATTTGCAGCTGCCCACATAGACAGAGGTGGTGGAAGCATAACGCTGTGGGACTGGTGGATTGCACAAAAAGGATGGAATAATGAAGGACTATCTCCAAATTCTTCAAGGTAATCTCAATCCAGCATTGAAAACAGTTGAAACTTGGACACAGCTGGGTGTTCTAACTATATACCGTTATTTAACCAGGCAAGTCCCGTTGAGATCTCAGATCTCTTTTTCAAGGGCGGCCTGGGCCTGAAGGCAACTTATTGTACGTGTTTTTAGGGGTGAGGGAAACCGGAGCACCCGGTGAAAATCCACAGAAGCACGAGGAGAACATGCAAACTCCACAGAAAGACTCCAGGTCCAAACAGGGGATCGAACCAGATCGAACTAGACATTGATTTCTAACATTCACCAAAACGGATTTCTACTTGGATAAAAAATGCAACATGCTTCTAGAATGGCCTTCTTGAAACCTTGATACAAAATATGATTAAAAGTTGCGTCTGTAGCAGAAAACAAAACAATTTTAAATGAACTCTACCAATTCCACCAACAAGTGTCTTCAAATATTCCAATTTAGAGTTATCAATTAACCTAACAGTCATGTTTTTGGTCTGTGGGAGGAAGCCGAAGTACCCGGGGAGAACCCACGCATGCACAGAGAGAACATGTAAACTCTACCCAGAAAGGTCCCTGGACCGGGATTTGAACCGGTGACCTTCTTGCTGAGAGGCATCAGCTCTACCAACTGAGCCACCGTGCCACCAAATTAAATTTCTGCTAAATTAAACAGAAAACTTTATATTTATTTTATTAAGTTTTAGTTTTCTTCCTACTAATCCATACATTTCTGTATTATTAGACTAATTCACAGTTTAATTTGATGGAGTTTTACTCACAAACTCACTTGTATTGACTGTAAAAAGTACTGAGATCTGGCACATCTTAGAGGAGCCCCCATGCTAATAATTTCATGGCCTGATATTGTTTCATTTACCCTTAACGGCAGCACTGTGTTAACACAAAAAAAAAAAACATATACCATTTAGTAGAAACAAATTGTTGCTGGCAGCTAATTGGTGCTGAAAGATTCATGAGTACACAGTGATGAATGAAGAAATAACTACAGAGCTCCTCTTCAGCAGCCCCTGTCCCTGCTGCTCAGTGGTTCTGCTGTGCAGCCCAGATACTCGGACTCTGTTATGCCATTAAAAGCTGCGACTCGGCCAACGGGCCTGAGCCATGACAGTGATGAATGTCTCTATAATTAGTGAGCAGGGGGTTTGATACGAAGCTGTCATCAACAGCTTAATGCATTAACCAAGGATGGGCCAGAGATCGCTCCTCACTAGAAGACGGCGCTCATTAAACCCCTGCAGCCGTGAAGGTAACCTTCGCTTGTTTCTACAGGAGGCAGCGGGGCAGAGAAGAAAACCTGTCCTGGTTTCCACAGACCATTTCCAACACATGTGGGAGTGTTTTTATTTATTTATTTTATTTTTTTTAGTCTCAGTGCCAGGACTGACAGCAGCTCGGAGCGAAACGAGAGCAGCCCGTCGTCACCAGCCAGCTATAAAAAGTCTGCTTCGTTATTCTGAGTTTAAGCTAACTCCGGCCCCTCTGAGGCGTGATGAGTGGGATCATTAAAACGGCTGCAGCACTGTGCTATTACACAACCTCAGAGTTGTCACAGACGCTGTTTCACCACTCCACTACATCTACATCCTCATGCATAATGAAGTAAAGGTCTCTCAGCACTTTTGCCACCCTGTGAAGACTTTTATAGACCATCCAGTTCTTTATGGTTCACGCACAAACGCCTCTGAAACTAAAGCGCGTGGATGAGTCTGTAACTGTTTGTAAAATATCTGATGAATCATCTCCCACATCTTCTTGTCACCACCATAGATCAAGGGGGCTAATTATTCTGCTACATGTTTCAGATTCTGAAATGCTCAGCTTATTAATACAGCAGGCACAGCAGTTTATTCCATATATAAAAGAAACTGGGGGCTGAAATGTTTTTTTTTATTCCCACAGTTTTCTAAGCCTGACTCCTCTGTTCGTGTGTGCACGTGTAGGTGCTCGTGTGGCACGCAGCCAGACGTACCCCCTCAGACTTCTTATCTGGGTAGATGCAGCTCTCTCCGCCTGCTGTGAAGTTGCAGTAAACCTTGAAGGAGTCCCGTGAGCAACCCTGGTTTGGATCAATCCAGTATTCACCTGCAGAGATGAAGTGAGGCAGAAAAACACAGCGAGAGAAGGAGTCGTTACACAGAGAGCTGTGTTCACTCAGGTTAACACAATGTCTGACATCATGTCTCCATGTTAACAGAGTCTATATTTAAAGGCCCAAAACGCCTCTTTCAGAACAGAATTTGAAGCACTTCAAGCAAAAATCCAATTATTTATGATGCACATTAAACAACACACTGTTAGGTTAAGATTAAATCCAGACATCATCTTTTACTGTGTGAATGTATTATTCACCTGATTTCCTGTTAGTTTTTTTGCATTTAAAGCACTTTTTCATACTTTTTAATTTTTTTTAGCTTTAACCTTTGGTTTAGCTAATTTCAAATATTGGCTATAGTTATTGCTCATTTTTGCTCTTAGCTACAGTTTTATGACTGTTTTGTTACTTTTAATTTTTAGCTATATTTTTGCAATTTTTTAAACATTTTAACCTCCATACCATCAGAGATGCTGGCTTTTGAACTTTGTGCTGATAACAATCTGGACAGTCATTTTCCTCTTTGGCCTGGAGGACACAACATCCATGATTTCCTAGCCTGGCCCTTGCCTTCCTGCGCAGCTCCGCTCAATTCTAGTTTCCCTTCACTGCTCCTTCTAGAATTTCTCCCATTAACAAGGATTTCACTGGCAGATTTTTAGCCGGGCCAATCAGAGAACAGAACGTCAATTTTCTGCACAGTGTCTGCTTGTAGTTTATTTTACCTGGGCCAATCAGCAAACAGAAGGCGGAGTTTTGAATGACGTCAATTTTCTGCGCAGTGTCTGCTAGTCATTTTAGCATACGGCAGTGGAGGAAGTGAATGAAGTCAGTCTGTGTTGATAAGGCTTCCAAATTAAAATAAATTTGTCTGACAAAGCTGCAGCTCTCATTTACAGTTATCTTGTTTGGCTCCGTACTTTTCTCCTCTCAGTAGGGTTGTTTACAGCACACGTGATTTCCAGTTAGCTTCTTAGCTTAGCCTCCTTCACAGCGACACACACACATGCTTCAGCAGAGGCCACGCCTCCTGCAAGAAACGTTTCTCTACAGCAGCAAATCCAGACCCTCTGTCCGAAGCAAAGTGAAGGACAGGGTCTGGTTTTAACCAGGCTACAGTTTTATGACTGTTTTGTTAATCTTAAGTTTTAGCTATATTTTTGCAAGTTTTTAAACATACAACCTCCATACCATCAGAGATGCTGGCTTTTGAACTTTGACCTGATAACAATCTGGACAGTCATTTTCCTCTTTGGCCTGGAGGACACAACATCCATGATTTCCCAAAACAAATTGAATGTGGGCTCATCCAACCACAGGACACTTCTACATTTTGATCAGTCCATCTCAGATGAGCTCGGGCCCAGAGAAGCTGTCAGTGTTTCTGGGTGTTGTTGATACTGTATATGTCTTTGGCTTTGCATGGCGGAGTTTTAACTTGCACTTGTAAATGTAGTGATGATCTGTGTTTACTCACAGTGGCTTTCTGAAGTGTTCCTGAGCCCATGTGCTAATATCTGTCACAGAATGATGTTTGTTATTAATGCAGTTCGAACTGAGGGATCAAAGGTCATGGGCATTCAGTGTTGGTTTTCAGCCGTGCTGCTTACTTGCAAAGCTTTTTGCAGATTCTCTGAATCTTTTGATGGTTTTATGGACTGTGGATGATGAATTTCCCAAATTCCTTGCAATTGTACATTAAAAAATGTTGTTAAACTGTTGGACTAGTAATTCACAAAGTGATGAACCTCGTCCCATCCTTGCTTTTGAAAGACTGAGCCCTTCTGGGATGTTCCCTCTATACCCCTTTATTTGTCTTGTGCTCACCTTAGCTTTGTCTTTTTTTCTTTTACAACTCAGGTAATGCTGTGCAGTAACCCAGCATATCATCTCTTCGGTTCTGGAACATTGATATAATGTTTGAAAAATCTCTGATTTCAAAGATGAATGAATAAATGTGTAAAATCCTAACTTAATTACTCTTCATGCAATCAGTTCCTACCATAATAAATAAAGAAAAAAACTTCAGAAAATTCATGATGCAGCATTTTAGAGTGATTAATGGTTGAATAGGCTTCCACAAAAATACTTTCCTTTTCAGTTAATCTGCTGTAAAACTCTTAGAATTAATTAAATAGTTGGTGCATAAATCCTAAAGAGAAAAATATCTCGAGGCCAAAAAACAAAAAAAAACATAGTTACTTCTAACGAAACAAATAAAAAAACATAGGTTTTAACTTTTCTAACAAATAGAAAAAATAGTTCATTGAATAAAACATTCATCTGATAGACTGTAAAGTTTAAGTGAAATTTTAGATAATATGCCCAGTGAAATACATTGGACCTGATTTGTGCACTTTGTCCACAGTTTTTATAAATTCTAATTTGATCAGGAAGGTTGTGGTTGATGCTGAAATTTCAACTGGATGATAATATTTAACAACCACCATCTAAACTCCAAACAAAAATAAACTTGAGACATTTTACAAGATTATTATGATAAATTCTGGTTGCAGATTTATTATCCTACATCTTCATGTGTTTTCATTTATTTTTAAGCTTCAACCGCTTTTCATTTGATCCACTAAACCCAAACTTATAACTTCTGTTTGTCCTATTTTTTACATGTTTCCATCCAGCTGTGTTTGTTGCATATTCTTGCTTTGAGTTTGAATGTTCCAAACTTTGTTTTTCCACAGATTTCATATATTTTCCAGAGTGTGGGAGTCATATGAATAGATGAAGAAAAGCTGTGGGCTGTGGGACGTTCAGCCAAGATTTGTTGTAATTTTGAAAAAATTTTTTTTCTAGTTTCAGCACAATAAATGATTTGAAAGCAGGAAATAAATAAAAAAAACTACAAACCATCAGGGAAGTCTGGGTGGCAAAGCTGTAGGTCTTTGCAGGTCCGAGCAGGGTTGCTCTGTGTGCCTAGTGGATGCTTCATCTGCTCGATCTCTAACTTTAATGAGTTGAGAGAGCCAAAGATCTCCTCCATGCCGTCATCATAGTCTTTATAGTTGGCATCTGTAGCAGCATCATCCATGATCTGGCTGGCATCAATGTTCCTTCGGCTTCTGCCCTTCATAGGAGCCTGGATGGGGAGTGGGTGGATGACATCACCAGGAGGGCCCTGTTACGGAGGGATGGAAGAAGACAAACATCAAGTTTGGGAATGATGAAACATTGGATTAAAGGCCTAACCATCCTTGAAGGAACACCATCCATCCTTCCTCTTAAGCCACCCAGTCACAGTGAGAAGGGCAGGGTACACCCTGGACAGGTTGCAAGTCCATCACAGGGAATGCATATTGAACCATCAAACACTTTTTCTGTGTTTTCTAAGGCTGATTGGTTGTTTTGGCCATTTTGACTTTTATTGACTCCAGAAGACATTTGGTAATCAGTTGCAGAGGTAGATTTAACACATTACGATATTATATAGATTTGTCTGGATGATGATACAATGTTTTTTGATATCACAAAGTCCATGATGATAGGATTTCGATTCAATTCAATTCACAAGTCTTCGATCGATATGATATAAGATATATGATATATGTATAGGGAAGTATGATGGCTCAGTGGTTAGCACTGATGCCTCACAGCAAGGAAGTCCTGGGTTCAATCCCCAGTTTGGACTTGGGGTCTTTCTGTGTGGAGTTTGCATGTTCTGCTTGTGCGGGTTTTCTCCAGGTACTCTGGTTTCCCCCACAGCACAAAAATATGTACAACAGGTTGCCGTCAAGCCCAGGTCATCCTTGTAAAAAAAGATCTTCGATCTCAATGGGATTTGCCTGGTTAAATAATGTTAAATAAATAATATTGATTAAGATTGGGTATATGACAATGATATGGATAGATGTTTTTGTGTTGCCTTGATGTAAATGACCCTTTAATCAATATATCGATGTGAATCGATCAATGAGGTTCTATAGAACAATTGGAGTGTGCAGAAACCACGTGACCGTGTTATCGGCTGGTGAAGCTAACGGCTAATGCTAAACGGGTAAGACTCTGGATTTCCCATTACTGTACATGTTGACAACTGAGCAGAAAAAAAGGACTGACGATGTAGAAATCATTAAAACTATTAATAATAATGTTAACCCAATTATTATTAATATTTTACAGTTTATATAATCTATCTAATGTTTTAAATAATGTCAGAAAAGCTGTTTGTGTTATGGATTTATTAACAGAAGATAAACAGGAAAACGTCTCATTTTACAAAACAAATCAGCAGATTTGTTCTTATTTAGCTCAATGTGATCTGAGCAGAACATAATGTAACAGTTTAAAATTAAAATAATCTTATAAAGTCGATGTAATCACTGTTATTAATTGAACTGGTTAGCAGGTATTAGCTTGTGGAGCATATATACAGAGTGTAGCTCTGTTGAATCATGTTACAATTTAAC